GGGGGTGGTGGGGGGGGGAGGGGTGTGTCTCGGGACAGGGGGTGCTGGCGTGCTGCTCCCTAAAGCTGGGCTGTGCCTGCACCTTGCAGGAGGTGGGGTTGGCGGAGAGGGAGGAGGAACGGGCTTTCCAACACAAATGCCGGGCCGGACCCCAGAGACCGGCTTGTGTTTGGTGTGTCCAGGGACCTCTAGACCAGACAGCAAAGTTATCTGTTCGGCTGGTGGTGTTGAGCCCGGCGGGAGGGGAAGGGGCAGCTCTGTCCTGCGTTGGCCATCGCATCTCTGTCTCCATCCTCTGCTCTGTCTCTTGGGTGTTACCGGTACCAGCCTGTTCGTCAGGAGGCTGCCGCACGAGCGGCAGAATGGAGCAGGCATTAGTGTTTGCTTTATTGCACTGGGATCTTTGTGCCTAAACCCACCTCTTCCAGGCTACACAAAGGGGACCCTGACGGGAGTCTCCTGGCAGCGCTGAGGGTCGGTGCCTGCCTGGTGATTCCTGCCAGCACCTTGCAAACAGTTGCCTTATTGTCTGGCAGGGTGAAGTACGCATGTCATCGCAACTCCCCTTCCTCCCTCCTCCTCGCCCAGGGATGCGGTGGCAACACTTCAAGGTCAGGCGTGTTGCTGGATGACCTTGGCGTGTTGTCCCTGGTGGGTTTGCTCTTCCTGTGGAAAAAACAAGCGCTTTCCTTGGTTGGCAGCGGAGAGCGGAGGAGTCGTAAAATGCATAATATGTGCACTTGTTCCGAGTTTTCATTCTTGAAGTACTTGCAGCGTAAAACACGTGTGAGCAGCGGCTCCCTGAATATTCAGCTGTCCGAGTTCTCACCGGCCAGTTTCAGCCACGTGCTCCCGGGGACATTCCTGGGACGGGGCGGGGCGGGAAGGCACAAAACCCTCAATTTTTTTTTTTTTTTTCCCCATTTTTTGTGAGTAAGACATAAAGTGGGGATGAACTTTAGGGGTCCACCCACCCCAGAGGGGTCCTCCTCGGCAGCGGCTGGGGGTTTGCAGCCACAGAGGGTTTTGTTTTCTATAACTGCATATTTTTCTACCCAAGCCTGGAATTACTTCGCATTGCAAGCGGAGCATCTTCCCCGGCTGTATCCGCTGTGGAAATGCGTTACGGGTTAAATCGCACTCTGCTTCCCGGCCGAGGGAGGCCCCCAGCTGCCTGACCCCGCTACCAAGTGGGGCATGAGCCAGAGGCAGCTGGGGATGGCTTGTCACGGAGAGAGAGCCCTGCGGGGAGGCTGATCCTGGCAAGCAGGTGCTGGGGGCTTCCTCGAGGCCACCGCAGCCACCTGCGCCCCCTGGGGTCTTCCGTAGCTGCAGGCTTGGCCTTCAGCTGGGAAAGCTGCCTCCCCTCCCGCCGTCCCCCCGCTCCGCTCTCTCCCCAAAATAAAACTTTCATGACCCTTTAGGTTCCCTGTCTGTGTCCAGCTGCCGCCCTCCGCTGCTGGGGGGGCCGAGC